AAACTTACCAAGCAGATATGAAGGGGGCATGCTCCTTCATATACCTGAATGAGCACACCAGGCTGGTTGTCAGAGTAGGTAATGAAGGTCTGTGTCTGCTTGGTAGGAATGGTAGTATTATGCTTGATAAGGACTGTCATGACTCCACCAGCAGTTTCAATACCAAGAGAAAGAAGAGTTACATCCAAAGGCAGCAAATCTTGCACATTTTCAGACTTGTCTCCAGATAGAATGGCTGCCTGAACAGCTGTACCATAAGCAACAGCTTCTTCAGGGTTGATGCTCTTATTTAATTTTTTTCCATTAAAGAAGTCTTACAGAAGCTTCTGGATCTTGGGGATACAGGTAGAAACCACCCACCAGGACAATGTCATGGATCTGTGACTTGTCCAGCTTAGCATCTCGAAGAGCCTTCTCTGCAGGGTCCAGAGTGCCACAGAACAGGTCAGCGTTCAACTCTTCAAATCGAGCACAAGTAATGGAGGTATAGAATTCGATTCCTTCATAAAGGGAATCTATCTCAATGCTGGCTTGGGTGCTGGAAGAGAGGGTTCTCTTTGCTCGTTCACATGCAGTACAAAGACAGTGGACAGCTCTCTTGTTCTCACTGATGTCCTTCTTATGCTTGCACTTGAATTCAACAATAAAATGATTGACCATTCTATTGTCAAAACGTTCTCCACCTATGTGGGTGTCTCCAGCTATAGATTTCACTTCAAAGATCCCATCTTCAATAGTGAGGATTGACACATCAAAAGTGCCACCTCCTAAATAAAAAATCAGCACATTTCTTTCAGCTCCAACCTTTTTGTCTAAGCCATAAGCAATAGTAGCAGCTGTTGGCTCACTGATAATTCTAAGTACATTAAGACCATCAGTGGTTCCAGCATCTTAGGTTGCCTGATGCTGAGAGTCATTAAAGTAAGCTGGCACAGTCACCACAGCATTGGTAACAGTCTTCCCAAGATAAGCTTCTGAAATTTCCTTCATCTTTGTCAGCAACATAGAAGACACCTGTTTTAGGTAGAAGCTGTTTGTATTCTGCTTGAACCTTGGGCCTGCCTGCATCATTCACCACCATGAAGGGCCAATGCCTCATATCAGACTGGATGACAGCATCATCAAATCTACATCCAATCAGACACTTGGCATCAACAACTGTGTTGGTGGGGTTCGTTGCCACTTGATTTTCTGCAGCATCTCCTATCAGTCGTTAGGTGTCAGTGAAAGCGACTTAACTTGGAGTGGTTCGATTTCCCTTATCATTGGCAATTATCTCCACTTTTCCATGCTGGAAGACACCCACACAGGAGTAGGTGGTGCCAAGATCAATGCCAACCGGTCCCTTCAACATGATTGCTTGCGTGTAGGCCTGGCTCTGCTGGTGAAGAAACTACATAAAAAGCCACTAAGCTACCAGTGTGTTCAATGAGGCCCGGTTGTTGGGTTTTGCAAGGTCCTACCTCTTCATTTTCTTGGGGATAGGAATTTGCTGCCTGTTTGGTCCAGCCCCTGGTTCTTTGGCACTGTGCCACAGTATTTTCTATGACCCTTAGTGAGTCTCAGTGTTGGAATACCAGGAATAACAGCTGTTTAGAACAATTATGTCACTTTTGGCTGTAGTGGTACCATCAGCAGTAACAATAGCATCAAATACAGCCTAGAAAAATGATAAACTAAACTAACCATTAACTTGCCACCTTTAACTGTATGAACTAGATTTTTGGTTATATAACAAAATCTAAAACAAATTAGAAAATCATATGCAATATGTAAGTCCTTATTATGTCAATTTTGCCCTCAAGATTAAAATTTAAAATAGGTTATAGAGAAAATGGAGAAGTGGAAAAAGAGGAAGAGATTAGAAGTAAGGCTGGAGAACAAAGGGGGATCATGCTAACTTTGGAGAACTGGTGCAGAAGACTGGAGGGAAAGAGAGAAGGAAGAGAGAAAAAGAACAGAGGAGAACCACAACCACAAAGAGGGTAGAAACCATATTCACACTCATATAAAAACAAGATCAAACAATGAAGGAGAGCAAAACCATAACAACAAAAAAAAAAAAAAAAAAACAAAGAACAAAAAGTCCACTTCCAGGTTTGTCTCTGCTGTCACTGGTAGACAACATGTGGAGAGAGAGTCCCAATCCATGCAAGCCAGCAGTAGCTTTTTGGCAGGGTAGTGGATAATCTCAGTGAGCCTGCACCTTCTAGCCAAGACCAGACTCATTTGGCCTGCAGCCATCAGTGCAGCTTATGCAGGCCTGAGCCCAGCTGGGAGCCACTAGATGGAGCCAGCAGCCACTCTGAGTTCTGAGCTCAGCCTGCCTCTCTCCAAGATGGCTCCCAGCCAGTTGCTCTCTCTTGTGCGGGATGACTGAACCCTCGGCACTCACCACCAGCTAGTGTAGTCCTTCACTTCCAGTGCTCCCCTCAACTGCTGTGTCTCTGCGTGAAGACCTCTGGAGTCACTAGCAGTCACCAAGTATCCACAGGTTTGAGTGAGTCCCGTCTCAGGGAGAAGGTGCTGCCAGCTACCTCCTTTTTCATTGAAGTTTCTCTCTGCACTCTCTCCATGGGCTTCAATTCACACTTTAGATCCTTCCTGGGTCCAGGGGACCCACTTCCCTCTTCGTGTCTTCCTCACATTGCTATATTCCAATATCTGGACAGTGACTCTCAGAGAGGCTTTTTCTCTGCTGCTTACCTTTCTGCCATCTTGGTGCCTCTCCAAGAGGTGTAGTTTCAATTTGCATTCTCTGGCTTATTAATGATGTTGGCACCTTTTCAATTTAATTATGTGGCTAGCCACTTCTGTTAAAAAATGCACATTCACATTTCTTACCTATTTTTATACTATTTTTTCTTATTGATTTATAAGATTTATTTTCATATTTTTTTAAAATAAATCCTGTATTCATAATGTATTGCAAATATCTTCTCCCAGTGTATAGCTCATATTTTCATAGTCTTTGTGTATTTTAATAAAAACGCTTTTTGATACTCAAAGCAGTCCAATTTATGAACTTTTTTCTTTTATAGTTAGAGTTTTTGGCCTTATTTAAGAAATCCTGCCTACCCTATGATCTAGAAGCTATTTTCTTATATTTCATCTTCTAGGTTCTGTATCATTTTACCTTGTACATTTAGATTAAAAGCATTGGGAAAAAATTGAACTTGAATCTGCATGTCGTTTCAAAGACAAATTTGGCAGGCAGTGATTGACTGAGGCTTTGATGAGGTAAGGTTAGAGATAATACTGCAAGACTAAGGCTTCTAGCTGAGAGTGAGTTAGGAAAGGAGAGTCGCTACCATAAAAATAAACAAGCAAATACAGAAGACAGGAGTTTGATTTAGGTTCGAAAGGTGCTGAGATTAATTTTTGGCCTTGCTAAGTCCCAGCTACATTAAAAACTTGCAAACAGAGTTGTCACATAGAGATTTGAAAATTCAGCACTGAGGGGCTGTTGAAAGTCAGCAGTGAAGATTTAGATCTGGAATCCATCCACACAGGAGAGCAGCTGAAATTAAAGAGAGGAAGATACTTTGAGAATGGAAATCCAGAGGGGGTGGGGGGAGTATGGGTTGAGCCCTGGGACATATCTCTACTTGGGTTGGAGAAAGAAAAATGTGTGAGCAAAGGAAAATGAACAAAATTAAAAAAAAAAAAAAAAAGATGGTAAAGGAGAACCAGGAACACATAGAATCATGAAAACTGAGATACTAACATGGCTCAAGTGCATTGAGTTTGTACTATGCATATTATTTTATCTAATCTTCATAATGGGTCAGGGAGGTAGCTTTCCTGTATCTCTACTGATAAATGAGGACACAAAGGCTTTGCAAAGTGCAGCCACCTGCCTATCACAGAGCTGATAAGTCCTGGGGCAAAAGTTGCAATTCTCATCTCCCAGTCTCCCTATATTTTCTAACTCGCCCTCTCCAGAGAAGGCAAACCAGTGTGGTGTGGAAAGAAATACACTATGATTATTGTACCTCATTTTAAAAATTTTTATTTTTGTGTGTATTTTATAATGTGCATTCTATGCTAGTATGGCAGTACATACATATCAGATATATGCATCATTTATAAATTAACAAGAATATGTTTATTGGGGTGTATGCCCCCAAAGTTTACTAGTGTGAAGTTTAAATTTAAAAATTTTAGAGGTTATTGCTACATGCCATAATGGTAGATTGCCTTTCTGCCATGTCCCATGTTCAACAATAAACTCCGTTTCCTGAACGTGTCCAGTCACCGTTTCAGTGCAATCTTAGTCCTACTGTAGTTCAATAAAAGCTGTTTATTCCATACGATCTTTTCATGTCATTCCACAGTATTTGCAGAAATTCACAGAGCCCTTTGAGCTTCCCAGTGCTCCATAATAGTGGAGGGAACAGAGACCTTAGGCCAGACTTGGGTTCAAATAGTGACTTCTCCCTTACTGACCACGTGACCAAACAAGAATGTAATTCTCAGAGCCACAGTTTGCTCTTCAACAAAATGGAAAGAATATTTACATTGCAGTCTGTTGTGAAGTCCAGCACTATTAAAAGGAGATGGTTTGGCACAGGGCGTGGCATACAAGGGATAATTTTTAAAGGCAGCAGATGGCAAGAACAGAAGTGTATGTTTGCCACAGACAGCGTCTGTGACCCTGAAGTCATCTCCCCTCTAAAATCAGGTTGCATAGGTTTGGGGCAAAGTTTGGCCTGTATTGTTCTGAATTCAACCTGGGAGTGGATATGAGCAGAGACCAGAAAGTGTCTCCCGAGGTGTGCAGGGCCCTTGCATGGCCGCATGGGTAAAGGATGCCATTCACAGAACTGTGATGGGAGTGGTCAACCCTGGGCCTTGTGGAAAATGGCACCCCAGGAAATGTACTGGTCAAAACTAGAAGGCCAGATACATGACAGTGTCAACAGAAGCAGAGACAAATACCACTGCCTTCCCTTGACCCGGCAGGATGTTAACACCCTCTGCTTGTCTGATACCTACAGATCTGTACCCCCGACTTGGTGGTCTTCCTGGCCTGCGCCAACCAGAGGCTGAAAGAGCGGTTACTGAAGAGGGCGGAGCAGCAGGGGCGGCCTGATGACAACCTGAAGGCGACACAAAGGAGACTCGTGAACTTCAAGCAGAACGCCGCACCTTTGGTTAAATACTTCCAGGAGAAGGGGCTCATCATGACCGTAAGTCAGCTCTACCCTCACATCCCTTACCAGGATGATCGTACCGACTTCTAATTAGCCCGTGTTCGCATTTAGAATCCTGTTTACTTTAAAAAGTGGCTTGGGGAGGGGCGAAGGAGTGCAGAACCAATAAAAAATAATCATTTTGACCTGATGAGCCTTTGTGTAGCTTTAATGACAAACAATCCTCTTGTTTTAGTTTAGTTAGTTCTCGCAAAAGATAATAAATTTTAACCTTGTCTAGAATTCTGTAGCCCTTAGGTTTGTTTTTAAAAAAAAAAAAAAAAAAACTATTTTGAAGTAACTATTTAGGTAATTTTAAGCAGTATCTCCTCAGTATGTTAAATTCTCTGTCTTTGAAAATCCCCCAAACTTGGTAGCTGAGTGACAGCTGGTGTGGTGTTCTGGTAGATTTAAATTCTAAGGTGGCCTTTCTTTATTAGAAGGTACTGGATGCAGAAATGGATCCAGAAATTTTCTAAGGGTTTGATTTGTCATAAAGAAGTAGGAATGGGAAGCATGAATCTTTCTGCTGTTTTGATACAGTGCAAATAGTAAGAGACACCATGGAAATATACATATTTTCCTAAATGGCCAGTTTGCTTTGTGGCGCTGAATCACTACTTAGTGCTATTTGTAAAATCTTGAGCATTAGAGGTGATAGCTCTGCTCGATTCATGGTGCCCCACAATGTCCGGTTCAAACATTAAATCACAGGGAGACAAAGAGGATAATCGGCCATCTGAAGACAGCCCTTTGTGCAAGAGGACACTAAATCCACTGCAATCTGGGGGCAGCTGGGCGACAGGAGGCCCTGCACAGCCCTCCTCTTGTTCCAGAGGAGCTGCACACCCCATCGAGATGCACAGAAGATGTCTTTCACAACACTAGGCAAATCTACCGCACTCCTAGGACCTCGGAATTCCTCTGTTAAAACTCTCCGAATTAGACGAAGACACCCTTGGACCTAAAAGTGATGGCCATGCCGTGTGACTGATCTCTTCCCAGTGTTACTCACTGCGATCTGCTCTTTGAGACCAAACTGTCATTTCTGAGAGTTGCAAATCAGATCTGAAAACTGTTCGTGATGCGAGAGTTCATTTGTTGTTTTAAAACAGATGTCAAGCAATAAGACAGACTTGGGGAAATCAGGGTGATTGTGTTTGTGGATATATTTTGTTGGGCTCGTTGTGTGTTTTTCCCTCATCAATTACCAGAGCTGACTTCTGCCCTCTGAAAAAGGAAATTGACCCCACAGACCAAAGCTCAACCTGGAGGTGCAGAGCTGGAGTTTCAGTTGATGTTTGCAGGGCCAGACGGAATTCGCAGTGTCTCTGATTACTCCCTGCTTGGCACGATCGTCATCAAAAGCAGTGCAGATTTCCCAAATGAATGCAGAGTGAGGATTGTTAATTTCCTAATATTCTGCATGGTGGTGAAACGCCATTGCCTCTAATTGAGGGAGTCGATAACAATGTGGATGGCAGCCTGTGACCTCACTGCGAGAACTGAAATGAGCTTGAAGACAAATGCCTCTAATTACTGGGAGAAGACTCACCTTGGAAAGTCACCAGCGTGTGGAATGCAGTAAATACGGCTGAGCTCTGGGGGTTAGAACTGGAAAGTGTAGTCTGACGAAGAGACAAGTCTTGCACCCTGAACACAGGCTCTCTTTCAGAACCTGCGGCCTGGTCACTACGGGAATTGAAATATCCTCAGTGGCGTTACCGCTTTTAAACATGAGTTAAATAATTTTAAAAAGATCATTCTTGTTATTCACAAGCACATTAAGATTTTAATAGATGTCAGTAGTTAATAGATCAAAATCAAATATTTGCTTTTCTCCTTAGTCTCCTTCTGCCACCTTTGGCTTCCACTTGCTACTCGTAATTAATTCACTTATTCCTTTAGTAAATATTAACTGACAGCCAGGATACCTTGCGACATGCTGGGGCACAGAGCTAACTCAGCAAAATGTAAGGATCTTGCTTTCGCTCACTGCCATAGTCCAAGCCCCTAGAATAGTACATAGCGCGTAGTATGTGGCTGGGATACAGGAAGGAGCTGTGTGTGAAGCAGCGAGTGGTAGAGCACCTGATGACTGCGCCGAGCAGGAAGTGTCAGAAGGTGCAGGTGCCCCCCGAGTGTCACTTGCTGTGGTAGGAACTGGGGTTGCCCTCAGTGAGCAGAACCAGCCCTTCGCCCGAGTAGGGTTAATCATTTATCTCCAGCCAATCTTCTGAAAGGCCACAGGACTGTGCATCTCCGTAGTCTCATTAAGAAAACTCCTCTCTGTCCTTCTCTTCCTTCGGGTCTCTGCTCCCCTCTCTCCCTCCCCTCCATCCCTTTGTCCCTTCCCCATTTACAAAAGATCTATTTCCATGTTTCCAATTACCTGTAGTCATACTCTTTAATGTAGTCATACTCTTTAATGTAGTCATGCTCTTTAATGTAGTCATACTGTGGGTTTCTCATACAAGAGAAACCATGTGATATTTAGGACTGTGCATCTGATTTATTTCACTTAACATGATGGTCTCACGGCGCATCCATGTTCCTACAGATGACTCAAGTTCATCTTCCTTTATGGCAGAGTAGTGCTCCATGGTGTGTAAATACCACATTTTCTTTATCCATCCATCTGCTGATGATGTAGAGGCAGCTCCCAAGATTGAGCTGGTATGACTGTGCTGCTGTAAGCATGGGTAGTATGCATGGATCGCTGTAATAGGAGACTACTGCCATTTAATTATTACACAATGCCCCCACGACCTTGCTGCAAATTGGATGCTGCCTATCTCGTCGTGTTGTGCAGACAGAATGAAAAGACGTGTCACCCAGTAGTAGGGGACAAGGCAGAGAGGGTTTAAGGTGCACTGTGCCACCTGGTTCAGACTCCAGCCAGACTGCGCATCACCTGGGTGACACAGCAGTGTACCTAGCTTCTCCATCACTCACGTACATGCCCTGAAAAACAGATATAACACACCAGTAACCCCAGCACTTGGGAGGCTCAGGCAGGAGGATTGCAAGACCAGCATAGTAAAACCGTGTCTCAGACACACACACATATGCACACGTACACAAACACATGCATGCACACACAAAAGCAGATATAATCATCAACCCTACTCCAGAGTGATTATGAACATTAAACAGATGTCAAGCGCTTCACATGGTACTTGGACCATTGTAAGGATGACATACTTATTGATATTAGTTCAGAACTATTGTATTTCTTCATCTCTGTTCCTTCGCCTCCATTTCTCTTCTCCCGGAATCTGCAGTTACTGCCAACAATTCTGCGTTCTTCTTTGAGGGAATTCTGTTGCCTTTTTCCAGTAGGCAAGTTATTGAAGATACACCAAATTACTAATTTAGAGTTTTAAAACTTCACGCTAAATTACTTTTTCTTTGTAAGTGTCTGTTAATCAGGTACAAAGTCAGCCCAGTGGTTTTTTTTTTTGAACTTCAGTATTTCCGTATAATCCAGCTGTATCAGGGCTGTGTCCAAGTGGGGAATTGAACATAGCAGAAGCTCATTCTTTTTTCTTTCGTGCTTCATCACGTGGCAGATTTGATGAAAGAACAAACCCAGGGTGAGCAAAGAGAAAAACCTAACAATGATAATAGCTGGAAAATCATGCTATTGCCTGAATACAGTATTGGCATGGTTCCCATCTTTATTTTTATTATTTTATTACATGTTTTTATGTACATACATGTGTACATGTATGAATTTAAATGATATAAAATCATGAAATATTAGGGACTCCCCACTGACACACTTCACAGAGTAAATCAGCATATTGGGGGCTTCTTTGTAGAATCTTTTCTGACGTGTTCGTAGGCTGTTTTTAACTTACCGTATGGGCTGGACATAACTTCTCATCACGTCATAGCTTTGTGCTGTGAGTTCCCAGTGTTCGTCACATGTTTTTTTGTGCGGGTTTCAGTGTTCCTAGAAGTAGGAAGGTTACATTTTTAGTGTTACAAGATGAACTGTGTCTTGTGACATTTTAGAACCCTTAGGCTTTATCAAACTGTGTAACCCTTGAACAATGATTTCCCTATCTGGATATTTTTAAAACCTCAATAAAATCTCTGTTTAGCAGTCATGTTTTAATCTTTGTTTTAAAGGTTTAAAAAAATTAGTCTTTCTTTTAATCATCCTTGGTCAAGTCTTTGCAAAAAAAAAAAAAAAAAAAATTCATTTTTCCATGCCAGGGATCAAGCCCAGGGCCTTACGTGTGCTTAGGCAATGCTGTAGCACTGAGCTCCACCCTTAGCTCAAGTCTTTGGACAGCTCTTTATGCAGTTTTGTTTATTTTTAAAGAAAGAGGTTTTCTGAAATGTTGGAAGAGTAACAGGGCAAGATACGATGTCTGTGTTTTTTCCCAAAATACATTCAAAGCCTTGTGCCATTGGACGAACACACCAGGAAGAGAGAAGCACTGAGTGTGGGGACCGCTGCTGCTCGCATGGGCGGCCGTCCACACGCAGCTCTGGGCAGTGGGGTCAGGAAGGGTTGCTCCTTTCAGGACTCCGTGTAGGAGGCAGTGAGAGGAGGGTGACTTAAAAAGAGAAGCGAACTGTAACCCAGGGTGTGCAACAAGGTCGACCAACTCCTACCCACGTTAAGCAACCGATCTCTTGGGTCAGGAAGAGAATAGGCTTAAATGTACTAAAATCAGAATTATTTCTTCTTCTCCAACACCTGTGTGCCCGGAGAATTGGGTAAGAAACTGTACCAAGGCCTCATATTCCTTACTTTTAATATTTATTAGATTAAAAGAAATTGTAATGGGATAAAGATAAAGCTGGCATTTTAAAGTTCACAAAGAAATAAAAATAAGTAAATAAATTCCACAAAGTGGGGGCATTTGAAAAAAAGAATTGGGCCAGAGATGTAGCTCAGGGACACAGTGCCTGCCTGACAAGCACAAGGTCCTGAGTTTAATTCCTGGTGCCAGCAAAGAAGAATTATCTATTTTTGTCAT